AATAAACGAATTCTTTACTTTCTAAAATGACTTCCCACAAATTTATTACATTTGATATTTTTTATTTAAAGCAACACTGTGTAACTTTTACTGAGTAACAGCGCCCTCTGCAGCCCCAAGTGGTGATTTATTGTGTTGGGCTCCGTGTCAGAGCAATTGAATGGTTCTCTCTGAACTGAAACTCAACTTGAACAGTGGATATTACCCATGATCCCCGGCTTCCTGAACCAATCCAACCGAACTGTGATTAGAATTCTTCATATTTTATACGTTTCCCGCTGAATATCGGAGATAAACTCGGGTTTCTAACGACTTCAAGTCTGTCTAACTGATCCACGCATTTGTCAGAGCATTTGTCAATAATAATCAGTTACATAGAGCGAGAACAGACGTTCAGGCTGAGGAGTGGGAATGAAAGAGGAAACATTCTCCTTGGTTCCAAGTCAGTGAACCATCAAACTCATTTTGAAGCTGCTGTTTTAAGGTAAAAACGTTGCACATTGTTTAATTTAATGGAGTTCTGTCTTCTAAATACAGAAGCGGGGCGGTTTGTAGTCTGGTCTTGGTTTTGTGGCTCTTGTTTTAATGGACCATAATGTATTCCTTAATGCTTTGTTGTTGTAGTTGTTGTTTTTCTTTATTATCAACACCGAACCGCTCGTTGCAGCAGTGTCTGCAGTTTTCTGTCACTAATGAAATGTCATTTTAAGGGGAGTTCATAAGGGCCTTGTACGAGTCAGAGGAAAATTGTGAAGTGGACCCCATGAGAACGCCACCCTCCGTGCTCCCGGACCACCAGGCCAATCTCCGAATGTGCTGTGAGCTGGCACTCTGCAAGATTGTCAACTCCCATTGGTGCGTAGAGATAAATAAATAATACGATCCCTTTGTATTGAGTGTGTTTATGCCTCTCTGCTATTTTAAAGATTCATGAGGCTTCAGTTTCACAGGGAAGCACAGAATCTCTACAGTCTGTGTCGTATCACCTGTTTCATTTCCCTCCACAGCGTTTTCCCTCGAGAGCTAAAGGAAGTTTTTGCCTCGTGGAGAGTGCGCTGTGCCGAGCGCGGTCGAGAGGACATCGCCGACCGCCTCATCAGCGGTTCCCTCTTTCTACGCTTCCTGTGTCCCGCCATCATGTCCCCGTCGCTCTTCAACCTCACGCAGGAGTATCCCGACGAGCAGACGTCACGCACACTCACCCTCATCGCTAAAGTAGTGCAGAACCTGGCCAACTTCTCCAAGTCAGTTTTATTTCATTTTACTTACACCACTAGAAATTGTGAATAATGACTGGGCCGATGACAGAGCCCTGCGTAACGCCAGCGTCATTTATTCTGGAGCCACTTTATACCTCACATTGTGATTTGTAATAATTTAATTCATGTGCATTTTAAACAAGCCCCATTTTTTATATTCATAGATTCACACCCAGAAAGTATTGTAATGTTTCAGCCTTGACAACTCGGCAAATGGAGCTGGAGGAAAACAAAACCTCCTCTCAACCGTTATCGCCGATAATGATTCCAGGTGACGTCTGATGCGTTTTACTGTTTCTTTTAACCCGTTCTTCTCCCTCCCGTGTCTCCCACCTGCAGGTTTGGCAATAAAGAGGAGTACATGGGTTTCATGAATGAGTTTCTAGAGATGGAGTGGGGCTCCATGCAGCAGTTTCTCTTCGAGATCTCCAACCTGGACAGTGTCAGTAACGCCGGCGGCTTTGAGGGATACATCGACCTGGGCAGGGAGCTCTCTATACTGCACAGTCTGCTGTGGGAGGTCATCGCTCAGCTCAGCAAGGTGACTGCAAACATGACGCGCAGTATTAGCCATTGATGCAACCACGTCTTAGCATTCATTATTTTTTATGTGCTTTTTCATTCAGAAATTGAAATTGTTCTCGTGAATCCCTCGTTTTTCTTTTTCCTACTTTAGTATGTGTCATTTTAAAATGCAAAATGATTTCATAGCCGTTTATTAAATGTATTGAAATCAATGTTGTTAGACACATTTTCTATTTAACCAGATATTGTGCACTTTAACATGATTTTAAAATATCAGTATTTATAAATGTGATATAGATTTCGGCCTCCAAAACTCCATATCGGCTCTACTTGATGTTCAACAATGAATTTCAACAATTCAATCTCAATTATGTCTCACTGTTCTCTTGTCTGAAACGTTTCACAATATGAGGCTGCAAGTCATGACTCAAACTTGATCTGTCATAATCCCCAGGTGAGCAGTAGAAATACGACATTTTAATGGACCCCATGTATTAGATTAAAACAATGCTTTGTTATAAATCTGCAGAAGTTTCTCATTAACTGCTTCCTTTTAACCGCAGGACGCCATAATCAAATTGGGTCCGCTGCCTCGCCTCCTGAACGACATCAGCATGGCCCTGCGTAACCCTCACCTCCAGAGGCAGCCCAGCCATCAGACAGACAGGGTCCAGGAGAGACAGGCAGACAGGCTGCTGTCCCGGCCGAGCTTCAACAGGGGCATCTCGTCCGACTTTCAAAATCCCATGATGAGGGATCTTAATAGGTAGGAGACGTCTGTGTCCTCATGAAAAACAGAGCAACTGCTCTGCAAAGCTTTTGGGATTTCACTTTATCACAGAGTGTCTTTTGTTTCAAATGCTGTTGTTGTTTTTAATTCAGTGGTTAATTAAACATAAATTGTACCTAACTACAGTTTTGAATCATTTTACTTTAATTTCCATTTAGTTTTTTGTTTTCATCTAATTTGAGTCCTTCCTATCTGCAGCTGTTAGTGGCCTTACTCACTGCTGTTCTCCAGCTCTATAGATATCACTCGCTTGCCTTCCCCTACCTCCACCGGAGGGGTGATGCCATCCCGCTCGCAGATGAGTTTTCAGGACCGTGACCACCCTCATCGAGCGTCCTCCAAAGACATGTTTTACGTATCACGCCCTCCCCTGGCCCGGTCCAGCCCGGCCTACTGCACGAGCAGCTCGGACATCACCGAACCCGACCCTAAGGTGAGTTGTTTCACTCTGACTCGGGGAACCATCATCCCATCCACTAGGTTTACCAGAGTGAGGTCAGTATGACGTGCATGTTAGTCATACTTAACAGAATCTGCCATCGTGTGACCGAGGCTGTAGTTTATCATGACATCTGCCTTTTTTCCACTGATTCACCACGCAACTCATCCTAGCGGTATTTCCTGGGAAATACTACGAGGCATTCCGATACCCAGGCCTCGCGGTAAAAACACCCGCACCACCCTCACCCATATCATCCGTGGCCACCTAACATACCCAAATTATACGGGGCGCCCTGGCCTCTCATATCCCATATTATTTAGGTGCTTAGTGTCAATAAAAGCGTATCTATGATGGACCTCCAGGATTCCCGAATGAACAGCGTGTCTAACCTGCAGTCGGTGGACATGCTCAACTCCTCCCAGGCCTCCATCGCCGGCATGGGCAGCTTCGGAGGGCTGAGCAGCGGAGGCGGTGGCGGCCTGGGGTCGGGCCTGAGCAGCCAGCTGCGGGCCGGTGGGAGGTTGTCAGCTGGCTCTGGCGGCTCCAGCATGTCCGGCGGCCTCCGGCTGAGCCAGCTGAGCCAGATGGGCACCACCACCGACTCGCTATCCCAGCAGCAGCAACAGCAGGCCGCCGCCATGCGCTACCCGCTTTCCTTCCAGAATCCACTCTTTCATCTGGCGACCGCTGACGGGCCTCAACAGCAACAGCTCCACCACCAGCACAGCCGGGCTCAACCCCCAGCGCCCCTGCTCCTGGCCCCAGAGCCGGAGCACTCCCACCAGGCCTACATCCCACAGTTCGCCCATGGGGGGTTCTCTCGCAGTGAGGACCTGTCCACCCTCAGGACCAGGGACGGTCACCTGGGCCAACCCAGCATCATCCACTCACACAGCTACAGTGACGACTACAGCAGGGCTGACTATGGACGCAGGCAGATGTCCATGCATGCACAGGTAAATGTTAGTCACTGTAATCTGGTGTTGGTGATTATGTCTCTATAATTCTGATAACATTAGTTTTAGGGTCTTTTCATTGTTTATTGTTGTTGTTAAATCAGTCAAAAGAAGCAAATGGTTTCCTCTGATTAACAGGAGCCGAAAATGAGTTTAACACCAATTATCACAATTGTTGCACATCTACTTATCTCAGCTCTTGATTTCGAGTTAATTTTTTTCTGCCAGGCCTCCATGCTCATAGATCTATTACTCAAACCGGGATGAGTAATAGAATTCCTGGATCATTTATCATTGTCTCCCTGGAACCTGAAGCAACTCGTCCAACATCGCGGCCTCTTGCATTAACGCGGAGACTGAGTTTAATAAATGAAAATGCTGACGTGTCATTTACTTGTTTTCTGTTTTAAGGAAAACCTTCAACAGCAGCAACAAATGATGGGCATGGCCTCCCAGACCGGAACCTCCCACTCTTCCCTGGCCACCACGCCACCCACCACGGTCCAACCTGTCCGCCAGAGTTCCGTTGCCCCGCCTCCCGCCCAGCGTGTCAAATCCCAGACTTCCCATCAGCTGTCCGTCAGTGCGGCTGCCGCTCCCGCCGCTCCGGCCAAAACGCGGCCGCAGAGCGGGAACCTCCTCCAGTCGCCGGAGTCTGGCTACGGCGGCAGGCAGCACGGGCCCCGGCAGCTGTCCGTCAAAGACAACACGGCCCCGGGCCTGCCCCACCAGCAGAGCTCCGTCAGGGAAAACCAGAGTCCACAGGGAACCACCGGTCAGAGTACTCAACAGTCACCGCAGCAGCAGTCTCAGCAGCAGCAGCAGCACCTTCTCAAACCCACCATGAGCAAACAGGTAACATCTGGAGATTTATTTCCTCTCTTTATTCGTCTCCGGGGCTTCAGGTTTTTCTATCAGCAGCCGTGCACAAAGATTTCTGTTATTGTTAGTGGCTCTTAACCGTGTGAGTGTGTCTGTAGCATTGTGTGTCTCATCATTCAGAGGCTGCATCCTTCGGAGCAGTGAATCCTGGGATAAGTTTGGCCCGGGAGGGATTCAACCGCCGGAGCTCAGTTATTAAAAGACACATTTTTCAGCATCTGAAGGAGCCATTGAAATGGAACAGCCTAGTTGCGTACTGCTGTGACGTAATCGACCTTTTAATGCAGCCTCTGAAGGATGTGGCCCCTGAGTAGAGCCGCACGCTGTAGGATTATAAAGTCGTGCAACTGTGATGCACTTTGGATTAAAAAAAACTTAAATCACTTTCATCCGCTCAGGATCTCATGTTCTCACATTCAGTGTGCTGGTCTTTCCTCCTCAGGGCTCCCAGACTCCATCCACCCTCAATCCCCCCACACCGGCCAACGAGCGGACCGTGGCCTGGGTGTCCAACATGCCTCATCTGTCAGCTGACATCGAAAGTTCGCGGATCGACCGCGAGGATTTCAAGCTGAAGGAGTATTCAAAGAGCATGGATGAGTCACGCATGGACAGGGTAGGTACCCTTCATGACTTTCAGACCTTTTAAAGGACAAACCTGAGTTGAGTCATGTCTATCAAATGCTGAGCAAATGGCACCGAGATGTTCTGACGTCGCAAATAGCGAGGAGAAATAACCACGAGCCAAATATTCATCAGTCTTTTGCAGAGTTTGGTACATTCACCCGATGTGTTAGGAACAAACTCCAATCCCACTGAGAAACCAGTGGATATGAACACCACCTTGTCCAGATCTCTCATTCCGTCCTCCGTCTTCTCTCAGGTACGCGAGTACGAGGATGAGATCAACTGCCTGAAGGAGCGGCTGGTGATGTCCCACAAAAAGCTGGAAGAGTACGAGCGGAGGCTCCTCACGCAGGAGCAGCAGACCAATAAGATCCTCCTACAGTACCAGAATCGACTCGAGGACAGTGAGCGGAGGCTACGGCAACAGCAACAGGAGAAAGACTCCCAAATTAAAGGAATAATTAGCAGGTAAATGGAGTCTGTTGTTGGGATGGAGGGCAAAAGACAGCTAAGTGGTCTTTTAGAGGGAGACCATGGGCTATATGAGTTTTCTTTCAAAATATATGGACGTAGAGCGACACATTCTAAGGTAAAGATTGCCGGCATTCATTCAGTGCAATGTTCGTATATTGGATTCTATTTAACTAGACTGAAGTGGAATCAGTTCTTTCCAAAAACACATATATTGCATATTGGAATAGGACTCGATTTACCAGAGGTTGTTATCTTGCACAGAATATTGCAGGGTAGGAGGTTGGTTTCAGTTTCATTAAGTCCCACAGCCCTGGGAGCGAGGCAGGGAGCTGTATATTGAAAGCCAAAGCTGCAGACATATAATGAGTGACAAATTAAATGAGAGGGTATAATACGGAGGAGAGATCTATATCTTATTTGATGAGTATGCAGGGCATGTTCCTTCGGCTGTTGGTTCCTCTCAGCGGAGCTAAGCCGGACAAAGGCATCTCTGAGTGTCCTGAAAGCTCCTCTTGTAGCAGATCTACTACCTCGCAACTTGATTTACTTGTTATTCAAGAGCATCATATTCGGATGACTGCTCCAGCTGAGTCCTAATTTATCGTGCGTCTGTGTGAAATTGTAATTGTGCAGCTCTTGAGTGCAGTCTTGAGATTTTATCGAGCGACCTCAACATTAAGGAGTTGATGGGAAAAGGGGGCGGAGTATCGATTGTATCTCAGTTGTACTCAGGGCAGGAAAAAAAAAAACAAATGTTTGCTGCGTTGTGAGGATTTTTAAAGTTCACGGACGACAGTGTAGTTTTTATTTATTTCTGTCGTGCAGAGAGTTCAGCTGAAAGAGTCTGTAAGGAAAAGAGATTGTCTTGTTCACATCTTATAATAGTTTGTGGTCTGCAACTGAAGGGTGGATGTCTGTGACAGAGAATATTGCCACTTCTAATCCACTCCAGGAAAGAAGACGTGGAATGAAGACAGAGACAGTCCTGCTCGTCTTTTTTTGGGAAAACATCTTTTATCGGCCTAACCTTGTATATAAAAACCATCATCACACACTTTTCTATGTCTCTGATCATCAGCCGTTTTTATGAAACGCAGCTCTTGCTTTTAACTGGATCTCGGGGTCGTTTCGAGACGAATCTACTTAGTTTGATTTTCTTTTGACTCTCCCATGAGATTGCACTGTAAAAGCACAAGAGGATTGGAAATTTGTTTCAGAAACATGTCTGCACTTTTTAAAGCAACACAAAGTGTTTGTTTGGGACCTTCGGGCGCAGGACAAACCGAAGACCATGGTGTGATATTAGCTCTTCCATTTTAAATCGAGGTAAACCATGATCACTGACAGACTGCTGATGTTTCTCCACATAGTGAACATGGGGACCGAGGCCTCGCTCCTTTTTTTTTTTTACATATGACGCTAAATGAAGAAAGTGGCAGACAAACCTTCAATCAGTCTGTGAACGATGAAGATTCAAGCATGAAGGCGCAGAGGAAATATTCCTCCTCCTATAGAGAAACTTTATCAGAGCACTTAACCATTGATTATTGCTCCTCTGGAGTACGAGCTTAAAGTGAATACGGCCGATCTGCTTCACACGTAAAGCATCTTGTGTGGGACACTGGTATTTCCGATGCTTACACTTGTGACTTTTATGGTTTGACCACACAAGCATGAATTAAGTAGCAGATGTTGATGCTTCCGAGTCGATTTTACTGACAGTTCACTGAGCCAGACCCTGTCAGCGGATGCATTTGTGAACTTGTGCATCGTCTGAACTTTGATGCACATAACGGCGATGAGCGTGGACGCCAAGAAATGTGGTCTGAGGCCAACACGTAGGGTTGATTGGACTCCAAAATCTCCAAACCATAGCCTTGTGTTGTTTTGTTTTTTTTCCCATCACGAATTGATATATTTAATTTTAAATTTTCACATTCGGATCTATGACGTCGGTGCAAGCTCGGGTCCTGCACAAAAAGGAGCCGAATTTCTTGGCTCCTGTTCAGACTTGAAATAAATCTCTATATCTGCAGAACTGAAACTGTTAGCATCGTGTTTCAGAGAAGCCTTAATGTTCTGTGCATGGATTTTAAAGCTCAGAGCAAATCCAATATCTGTCATTAGACCAGATACATTTTATGTTCTAACAATCTAATTTAAACCAAAGCCGAATATAAAGTATTATTTTAGGTCATGCTAGGTTAAATCCACTGAAAACACTTTACCTGTAGCACTTTTCTTTAGGGTTGTGATCTCACTAGTCGGCTACAGGCTCTCTTATTTATTTGATTCTATTTATTTATTTATCCTCAGAATATTTTAATGCATTTATTAATTTCTAAATATGAATGAAGCTATTTATCTTCCCTGAGCTTTTTGCTGTGAACTGAGCAACATGTTGACTTTGGAGAGATGAGGTGAGTTTGCAGTAAATGGGGGAGAAACAAATCAATGGTCTTGATTGTA